TTTTTCCCTGACAGAAATGGATGTGCTACTACAAGCATATAGTGACTACGAGCCCATATTTCGTTAAAAAAAAAAATCCAACAACACGGCTGCAGCGGCGAAAGAGAAAGAGTTAGCTTGGGGGAAAATAGCTGCCCGAGTCAATGGGTACGTTTACATTTTAATCATACAGTGTTCGGTGTAAGTAATTACTAAATAATGTTAGTAATGTTATTATTTGTCACTTGTAAAGTAAGGAATGGTTCTTAATTCTTCAATAATTGAATGAGTAACTTCAGTAATTGCATAAAATACCGATTTTTGTACGAATTAAAAGTGCAGTTTTATGTCTACCCTTTCTTAAAATTCCTATTGTGGTTGATATGGGATTTGTAAAGTAATGATTAATAAATAATCCAGTACGTTTTATGGAGAGGTAATTATTACATTAATCAAAATACTTTTTTAAAATTGACCCAACACTGATGTAATAATATAAGAATTGAATTTTAATTTTCATGTAGGTGCATTGATGGGAATATGTGTGCCATCAATGCATCCAACCACATTTGGAAATCCTGAAGGGGATTCTAATTATTAGTTTATTTCCAGAGGTCACAGCAAGATGTTATTAACTGATCATCATTTTTCAGATTAGCCTTACTGAAATGAATTCAATACCACTAACCTGCAATCCTGTGAAACACCTCTTTAATGACTCTAAGGGGTTTGTGCCCAGGAAACGCAACAAAAATTCGCAGAAAGCGCTTGAGGGCGAGGCACACTTTCTGAACTATTCTACATACAGTGGCCTTACTAATGTGCTCTGCATCCCCGATGTTATAAAGAAAACTACCGTTTGCAAAAAATCGTAACGCAACACAAAGCATCTGCTCGGATGTAAGAGCACGGCCACGATGGGTGATGTGTCTGATGTATGGGTGGATAAGATTATTGATATATGTTATGGACTCTCTAGAAAAACGGTACCGCTCAAATAAAAATACATGGGGATATGACAAAAAATCAACTCGTGGCCTCAATATCTTCTCCCGACGTAAATTCAATTCCCTGCGAATTAATACAGCGTCCTCATCTACAGGATCCTCTATGAATGGACACGCCATTTTGGTCTCTGCATGACGGAAAC